AAAAAAAAAAAGCTACGGAGAAACCCTGTCTCAAAGAAAGAAAGAGAGAAAGAAAGAGAAAAGAAAAGAAAAATGCCCAGAGTTCACAGCTACCCACCCCACGTCTCAGGTTCAAAGGCCACCTTCCTTTTTTCTTTCTCTTTTTTTTCACGTTTTTTCCCTTAAGATTGAAATATCTTTCTGTGGGCTTACTGCTAAGATCCCAAGGGAGGCACAGACCTGTGAAGCCAGGTAGATAGGGCCACAGCCCCTGGCCAGCCATTTCTTAAGTATTCGCTCTTAAGTGAGCCACTGGACTTTCCCATACTTAAGGCTTTCGATGTGTAAAAAGGGATAAACCGCATTCCTGTTGAGAATTGAGGTGAAGGGCCGTGATGTGGAGGTCATGCATTGTACGTGGCTAGAAGCAACCATCGCCATGGCTGAGAAGCCCACTTGACTCCCAAACCACCTTTAGAGGAAGAGGGCAAGACATACAGGAAGGAAGGAAGTATAGGAAGGACGGCAGACAGCTGGGCAACAGACCTCTAGACCCGCAGTTACCGCTTCCCAAGTTGGCAGTGCATGCTAACAATTCTCTCAATGCCCGAGAAAAGAGTTTTATCCATTCCCTGATGGGAAAGTGGATTTCTGAAAGCCCAGAAGACAGCGCGGCTTAACCAGTTTTCCTTTGCTCTCCAGGACGGCTTCTGCACATACCTGCAGCTAGAGTACTCCGAGCAAGCCAAGGCTGCCGCTCGGAGGGCAGAGGCTGCCCTCCTGCTGCCTGCCGTCCAGCAGAGGCTGTCCTATGGGAGGCCAGTGCTGCGCATCCTCTCTATGCCTGATGACACCTTAATCACCATCCGAGAAGATGGGGCTATTTATTTCTGGTCCCCGCAGCTGAAGCTGAAAAGGAAAAAGCCAATTTTCGTATGTGATTTTCATTTGATAAGAATGCTGACTGAGTGCTACAGTTTGATTTTATTTGCTATTTTAAACCGCTCCTTAAGTGGCGTGATAACATAAATTGTGCCCTTGAATCTATGTATTCGTGGCAGCTTTTGTGAGTCTGTGGATTGCACATAAAACATGAGCCCCACGTGGAGTACAAGATAATGCTTCGTTTTGCTTCTCACATCAGATGAAATGATGAATTACACATGCTTCTGTCATGTAATTCATCATGTGTCTTATTGAATGACAAATGGAATGGAATCCCCGCCCCGCCCCCCGCCCCTTTGTGGTTATGCCTGCGAGGCGGTTCTGCTACGTTTTTTTTTGAATCACTGATCAGAAATTCAGAAGCCAACATGCATTTGGGAAGTGTAATTAGGAGAGAAACCGCCAGGCCCATCTCTGCACCCCCCCCCCCTTCTCATTCAACAAATATTTGAGCTCCTGTGATGAAACAGACTCTGTGCTGGGTGCTGGGTGTGCTTGGGTGCTGGGTGTACTGAGTGCTGGGTGTGCTGGGTGCTGAGTTCTGGGTGCTGGGTGCTTTGGGTGCTGGGTGTGTTGGGTGCTGAGTTCTGGGTGCTGGATGTGCTGAGTGCTGGGTGTGCTGGGTGCTGGGTATGCTCAGTGCTAAGTTCTGGGTGCTGGGTGTCCTTGGGTGCTAGGTGTGCTGGGTGCTGGGTACTGGGTGTGCTGGGTGCTGATTGTGCTTGGTGCTGGGTACTGGGTGTGCTGGGTGTTGGATGTGCTGGGTGCTGTGTGTGCTGGGTGCTGAGTGTGCTGGGTGCTGGATGTGCTGGGTGCTGGATGTGCTTGGGTTCTGGGTGTACTGGGTGTGCTGGGTGCTGGATGTGCTTGGGTTCTGGGTGTACTGGGTGTGCTGGGTGCTGGGCATGGAAAGCTCTGTCTCTGCCCCTAGGTGACTTAGAACCAGCTTAACCTCTCAGATTGCTGAATAGCCCATTCCAGGGGAGGGCACTGAGTCATCTCTTTGAATATAACTTGTTCCTCCCCTTGAAGGAGGAAATCAGTGAAAGAAAACTACAGGGCCTGAAGAGATGGCTCTGGGGTTAAGAGCATTGGATGCTCTTCCAGAGGACCTGAGTTCAATTCCCAGCACCCACCTGGAGGTTCCCAAACATCTGTGACTCCATTTCCAGGGGAACCGATGCCTTCTTCTGGCCTCTGAGAGTGCCAGGCACAAAACTAGAGCCCACACATGCATGCAGGCAAACACGCATGCACGTAAAATAAAGGTAACATCTTTTCAATAAAAAATGAAATGAATTTAAATTAAATAAATACAATCTTTTTTTTTTTTAAAAAAAAAGGCATGTACATTTGTTTATTTTCACTTTTCAATCCTGCAGGGCAAATCCAGCAGCCGGAAGTCCCAGTGGGTGACAGACATTGTCAGCATGACACAGTATAACAAGCTAATCATAGGGACTGGGTAAGTACAGGAGGTTGCAGCCCAAAGGGAACGGTCCGGGTTTGATGAGCTGCAGAGCCATGTCTGAGGTGCACAAACATACACATTTGCAGCATGAGGCAAAAGCGAGAGTCTTTAAAATATTAGGAGCCATATGTCTGGGCAGAGATAGACTTCGTGTGGCTTCATGCAGTGGTAGCATTGTCTCAGAGGCGCCCTGCCCTCTTGGAGGAAATACTTCTGGAACCAAGAAAGGGGCCCCATGAGGAAAACATTAGTTGGAGTAATTCTTAAGCATACTTTATTTAGATTAAATGGTGTATTTGTTTTCTCATGCATCTAAATTGAGTCTTGACTGCACGGAATTAACTCAAAGGGTAAATTACACCGTGCAAACAAAGGTGTCCTCGCTGCTGTCATTCACTGCTGAGCCCCAGAGCAAGGTCTTGAAGGCTCCAGCCCCCCCAGGAGTGTGCACTAAGATCACGGAGGGAGGGTGGGAGCTGAAGGCAGCTTGAGTAGACTTCAGTGGGTGGCTGCAGCTAAGGAGCGGGTTGATGGCATCCCACAGCTCTGCCTACCATACAGACACTTCATGAGGGAAGCCCTCTTTAGAGCTCCCTTCCACGGGTCACCTAGGCTCTAGGCCTTAACTACTTTGAAGACTTGCATGACCTCATAGTTAAGCCAATCCCAGCCTATCCCAGTTATTTTATTAGGTATAATTGTTTGTGCTGCTTAATATGTTCTATAATTATTAACTCATCATCATCATCAAATACACTTATTAAAATAGCAATATAATTAATGGAATCAATTTAATATTATGCTATTAAATAACAAATTTAAGTTTATAAATTCAGCATGATTTTTAAATTTTTTATTATACTACTTTTTAATCACCATTTTAAAAAATTGATTTGTGTGTGCATGAATGTGTGTGTGTGCTCGCGTGCGTGAGAGTGTGTGTATGTGTGTGTCTGTGTATGGGTACATGCATGTGAGTGCAATACCCAGGGAGGTCAGAAGAGGGCGTCATGTCCACTGGAACTGAAGTCATAGGTGGCTGTGAACCACTTGATGTAGGTGCTAGGGCCTGGAATAGAAACTGGTGTGAACTTATCAGTTGTTTTGGTCCTCTCCTCTCAGCAGCCCCAAGGTAGGCCAAAGGCAGGAGGATCGGGTCCAGGTACTAGTTACAATGATCTAGGGAAGAGAGAAAGGTGGCAAGGCCAGGTTAGTGAAGAGCCCTTCACCCTCCTCTTCCAATTGGATGCCCTGATGTTCCCCACACCGAAGCCCGACATTCTCAACAGTCCCCAGGCTTTGGACCAACCACTCTCTCATGGCATCTCAGTGGCTCTCAGTGACTCATCACTAACAGAGACATTGTTAGGACCATATTTGACAGAGAAGGGAACTCAGTGGTGCGCTCCAGAGCCCGGGCAACAGAAAACTGGGGCCTCCAGGCCCTGATGGCAAAGGGCAGACCACCCAGCTTTGGGCTTAGCACCCAGCTGAAGAGACATTGCCATCCAGAGAGCTTCAGGAAGGCGGGGATTCGGGCCCCATAGAGCAGGATTGTCACTGGTTGGGGGGTCACCAGAAATGGAATGAGGAGCTCTCCGTTACCACTGACGATGCTTGCCTTGAACAGGAGTCGGGAGTTGCAGCTGTATGAGCTCTCGAACTTGGAACCTTACTGTCAGATTGGTGGCCTGGAAGCTGTCCCCCTGAAACTGGACTACTGGTAAGAACTGCCATTCTAGGGAGGCTGCCTGTGCGTGGCTCACCACCAAGCACAAGGAATTGCTCCTTGAGTGGCTGCTAGGGCTCCATACAGCCCCTTGCCCCCTGCCACACAGCCCAGTTATGCTTAGCTGAGGGGGCCATCCTTTACCGAGCAAAGAAGCGAAACTGAACTCGGCAGTGGTGACCCACACCTTTAATTCCAGCATGTGGGAGGCAGAGGCAGGCAGAGCTCTGTGAATTCGAGGCCAGCCTGGTCTACAGAGCGAGATCTAGGACAGCCAGAGCTACACAGAGAAACCCTGTGTCTGAAAGAACTGAAGCTTGTTTCTTTCTTTCTTTCTTTCTTTCTTTCTTTCTTTCTTTCTTTCTTTCTTTCTTTCTTTCTTTCTTTCTTTCTTTCTTTCTTTCTTTCTTTCTTTCTTTTTGGTTTTTCGAGACAAGGTTTCTCTGTAGCTTTGGTGCCCGTCCCGGACTAGCTCTTGTAGACCAGGCTGGCCTCGAACTCCCAGAGATCTGGTGTTTCTGAGCCATGTGGTTATCAATGGCATTTTAGATGTGGCTAGGTGAATTTTCTGGAGACAACTCTGATCGTAGCACCCCCCACTTTTCCTATCTGCCGACTCCCCGTCCAGCCATACTTATGGAGGCCGGGTGGGGGTCTTAGTCAGTTTCCTGTTGCAGTGATAGAATGCCTGAGAATGGGCAAGCGGTTTATTTGGACTTGAGGTTCTGGGGTTGAGGAAGCATCCCGGTGTGGTACCAGCATCGGCGGCTCTCATCTGCAGCTCTGCTTCTGGAAATGGCTTCCTGATGCTCTAACTCCCAGCGGGAAGGGAAGTGCGTGATATGGAAGGACTGGGCTTGTTCTGTACCACGTGTCTCTCGCAGCAACTCAGCCAGGCTTGACCCACATGACCCACACACCCACCAGTCTCCACCCCACAACACTGCTACGGTGGGGACAAGCCCCCGCGTGAGTTTCAGTGGGGAATACAAATATTCAATCTACAGCAGATGGCCTCCCAGCGTCCTCTGACTCTCCAACCTCAAATCCGGCAGCACTTTGTGCCATGGACACAACCTAGAGAACGGGACTCCCCCCACCCCAACCCGCGCTTACCAAACAGGGTCTCCTCACACTTCTCCCAGGGCCGCTTCTTCCTCCAACCATCCTTCCCATGGTGTTTGCTGAGCGCTCCCTGTGGGACCACATTGTGGAACATGGGGGCGGGGCACACGCTTAAATAAGAGTTGGCTCTCACAAGGCCGACTGTTCTCTGAGCAGGTGACCCCCCGAAATTCTGCCATTCTCCACAGCTCACGTTTTATCCCTGTGAAAACTCCCCTGAGGCACCTTCAGACCCAAAGTGCCCTGAGGAGCTGACCTGGCTCCTGTCTATGCTGTCCCTGCACCTAGAAATGGTGACTCACGGTGACAGTAGCACCTTGGCCTTTGCTGCTACTCTCTGGCTGCTATGCACTAACTGGCATGTACTAGGAGTGAGGAGCCTTGCGCACACAGCTCCCGTCCAGGGGGCCTGTCTTCCACCCAATAGATGCGCTCATTCCTCTCCACCTGCAGTCTACAGTGAGGCGAGGGGGGGTGGCACCAAACACTGCCACATGGTGCCCAGGCTCCCAGCCCACAGGAGTTTCCTTTCCTTGGTGGGTGGTTGGCATTGATGGATTTTTTTTTTAAATGTTCACTTACAGTTTTCTGAAATGACATCTATCTGGTCCTAACATTGCTTTGAGGAAGGGCTGGGATGGCCACTCCTAGGTGACTCTTCTACCTCAGGTACCTCCAGAGCTCTGGGGAAGCTGGGTTAGGTGGTGGAGACACACAGAGGCTCTGAGTCAAACCCTCAGCCCCTTTATCTCTGGAGAATCTGACAGGTGACATCTTTATCCACAACCACAGAGCAGAACAAAGCTTCCTGTAATAAAGCCCCTACCAGCAGAACACAGCAGCCAGCACTTCCCACGGGGAACCCTCTCCTCCCCTCTGAGGACAGAGACAGGCGAGACAGTCATTGCCCTCCAAACCCTTCAGACTCCCCGTCACAGGCTCCCCAAGTTGAGCACAAGCATTGACTTGCAGTGTCTGTCCTGCCTTGGGCTGTTCAGTACCACGGTCCAGAAGGCTCAGCTGGGAAGGAGCCAGACCCAGAAACCAATAGGACTGCCTGCTGACAGTGTCATTACCTGAAAGCCAGTCTGTGGTCCAGAAGCCTGTGAGAAGGAAAGCTTGTCCCAACAGTCTCAAGGCGAAATTCCGAGTGCTCCTCTGCTCCGAAGAGCACCCCACTTTCCTCTTTCCGTTGTCCAGCTTCCAGGCATAGCCAACAGAAATCAGCTTGGAACAGCCATATTTCATCTCACAGACTAAACAGGCACCAGGAGGGCTGCAGATTACACCCTTGAATCTCTGGAACACCCCTTTCCCCTTATGGCTGGCTGGCTCTTTCTTCCTAGCAGAGCAGAAAGGCAAACACTTGGACTTTATCCCCGTTTCATCTCGACACCCTCTCACACCCAGACCTAATCACTCAGCCCAACCCCGAGATCCAACGTGGTATTTATCCTAATATCCCGGGAGAGTGGAGTTCTGGGAAGTACAATGGTAGCTACTTCAGGGGCTGGCTGCTTGAGGGAACGTTAATCACGGCGCGCGGGTATTTTCACGGGAGCACATTGTAAGCTAATTACCACGTTCAGGGCCCGCTCTGTCATTACCTATAATACATGATTTCACACGTACTACCACTTCTGTGTGGTTGTCTTCGCCCCCACCATAGACCAGGCACACCTCAGCCAGGAAACATCTACATACAAACATAAAGCAGAAGGAGGTAGGAGAATTTTTTTTTCTAATATGGAACCCGAGTCTGTAAGCACGCCAGGCAAGCACTGGACCCCTGAGCTAGATCCCCAACAGAGATATTGCTAATGAGACAAATGCCTAGCTCACAGAGTCTGCAGATGACAGAAGACATACAAGAGCTACTTTTGACAAGATGAATAAATATATTTAGCAACAATTTTTATTTTTCCAGCCTGGCCTATTGTTAAATCATATGCTTACCTGGAGAAAGATGCTGGTCTCTTTTGTGTGCTGAACAAGAGGCAATAAATAAAAAAAAAATCTCTTTAAAACTAGAGATCAAGATGTCAATCTACACCCTGGATTTCTTGAACAAGACATAAAATACTATTTCAAAACCTCTTGCTACAACAGCGTAGCAGAGAGAACACACATTGGCCTCATACCCTCCAGGGCTTCCAGTTCTGTTCTGCATACGAGAGGTCCTTGAGTCTTGAAGCTGACTTTCCAAGAATTGGGCTCTAACGTACGCATTTTTAAAAATTCAGCTTTGCCTGTGTTTGCACTCTTGGGGGCGAGGCAGACACATAGCCCTTACAAGTGGGAATCAAAGACCCAGAGAGGGGCTGACCCCTTCAGATCCACACCCATCTCATCTTACAACTGGGGATCCAGGACTTGGGGTGGGGATCCCCATGCTTTCAGGCTGCTGGAGAGACGGGGCTCAGCACAAAGCCTTCTTAAAGAAATACCTTTGAGTTGAAGGACAAGGAAGGGAAGTGACAGGGTACATTTATTTCAGTCTGCAGAGCACAAGCAATGGCGGGGGAGTTGGGGAGTGAGGAGGACTTGGAGTCTTCAGAGAAGTCAATGGATAGAATTGGGGGCCCATTGGAAGGAGAGAAACAGATAGAGGTCAGCCAACATGGTCAGGTTTGGTAACTCTGCCCTGCTAGGAATTTTGTCTTGGATCCTAAGAACATATCTGTTTTAAATATGTCATTTATAGATGTATATTTGCTTGCATATATACATGTATACCTAGCGTGCTCGCAGAGGCCAGAAGAGGGCACCAGGCCCTCTAGAACTGGAGTTACAGATAGTTCAGAGCCCATATGGGCTCTGAGGACCTAACCCAGGTCCCCTGGAAGAGTACCCAGGTCTCTCAACAGCTGAACCATCTCTCCAGCCTCAGCATGGATATTCTAAGAAGCTGTTAAAAGAATACGCTCTGGGGGCACACTGGAGGAGGGTGTTAGTGAGGGGCTGGAGAAATCAGCGGGAGAGTATTTGTAGCTGTCTTGGGTTCTTCACTTGTAAACCAGGCTCTGTTTCCTGGGCAGCCCATCAGCTTTTTAACTATTAAACGGCAGGCAGCATACACCAGCAGCCCTTATTGTGATTCTCCAGTGGGCGGTGCTGAAGCCGACAGAGGTTGTAACAAGGGCATAGGAGACTGGGGAGGAGAGAATGAAAGTAGAGCTTCCTGGGAAGCCAGCACCAAGACCAGGGCTCTGCCTTCTCCTTAGTCAGACAAGCTTTCCTGACTCCTCTGCTAACTTCTCTAGGTAGGCTTGGTGCCCAGGGCTGTGCCTCCTAAAGAAATCTTCCTTCCCTCATCTTCCATGAACTCCTCATCCCCCACTGGATCCAGCCGATATGCTAATAAAAGTGTTATTGTTTTCATGTATTGGAAAAAGAAGCAAAAGTGGGAGGGGGAGCAATTCCTCTGTCTAAATTCCAATTGTTCTGCTAGTTCATACCCTATCTCAGTTTGGTTTCTGTTGTTAGGGTACCTGAGGCTGGGTAATTTATGAAGAATAGAGTCTCACTCAGCATCTGCGAAAACCCTTCTCCTGCATCCCGGTGTGGCAGGAGCATCACACGGCACAGTGCAAGCGTGCAGCTCTATCTGTGAAGCCAGGACATCACAGTCCCCTGCCGTCATTACCTCATTCAAGCCTACTTACCTCCCAAAAGCTAGCCGTCCAAACACAATTAACATGTCAATTTGGGGGTTAAATTTCCAACCCATGAATGCAGAGAGGGAACAACACATTCAAACCAAGCCGTGTACCTTACTTAGAGCAGAACTCCTCAGAAGAATCCAAACGCGGCTGGACAGAATGGTGCAGGCTGGTGATTGGAGTGCTGGGGAAGCCGTGGCTGAAGGC